CGGCCGCGCCCCGCCCGTCCTGGTGCGGGCCGGGAGCCGGGCTGCGCAGGCAAGCAGGAGGAAGTCGGGGCCGGGACGCGGGTCCCAAAGCAACAAGTGCCGCGGCGGCTCCCCAGAGGCTGCCGGGCGGGAGCAGGGAAGCAAGGCCCGACGCGCCGGCCTCTCGCCTTCCCTCTCTCAGCCCCTAACCCCACCGCACTCACTCTGCCACACCACGCTCTTCAGCCCCCGCTCCGTCACCGGCGGCGCCATCTTCCCAGCGCCGTACACCAGCAGCCACCGCCTCCCCCGCGCAACCTACTTTGGCCCAGAAAGTGGCACTCGGGGGCCCCGCCCCCGACGCGGGGAGGCCCCGCCCACTGGTGACGTCACGCGCGTCGGCCCGGGGATTGCCGCCCACGCCTGGACGGAGGCTGCGCAGTGCGGGCGGAATGGTCGTGGGAATTGGGGCTCCCCCTGGGAGGAGTACGCCCTGGCCGGTGTTGAGACGTCCTGGGGCGTCGCAAAGCAAAGATGGGCAACAGGTTGCGAACTGACGCAGTTGACGAAATTATGAATTTACACATACGTGAGGAAGCCAGGCGCCTTCGCTTTACAAAAGAATGCTTTGCGAAGGATTCGTGATACGCGTCACTCGGTAGGCACCTCAACTATTAGATGGAAAATCTACTTTTCCCACTAAAAGTTTCTTTTACTCATTTTTGAAGAGCACAATAATTGTGCAGAACTAGGAAGTACCCGTCAGTGTCCCTAGAATTGTGTGCTGAGCTTTTAGGAAACTCAAAGAAATGAGAGACACCTCTTCCCCTGAAGAATCCATAGTCTGATTAATAAAGACCACAGTTCCTGGCATGCTGTAGGTAGTCAAACATCAGCTTAAAAAGTGGGTGCCTAGAGGATACAATATAAATTAGCCAATAAAGCCATCATTTAACAAGTGTGTGCAACAAACGTATGGAAGGGGTTATCAGTGCTTTAGGATCCAAAAGCTTTGAAAGCCAAATAGAGGAGGTGCCTTGAGCTCAGACTTAGTTGACGCAAAGATCTATGTAGAGAGTTATTTGAGGACTTAAACGTATATCAATCATGAATTAGATCAGTTTAGTTGCTGATAGCCCTATGACATGACCATCGGGTACACTGGCAAAAAGTAGACATTCCTAGAGGGGTTTGCAGGAAGCAATAGTTTTAAAGTTTCCAGTTGGTCGCACCATGGAAATGGCTAGTGACTACTGCTGCTGATAATGTCTAGTACTTACTGAGTGTTTATTATTCACCATCACCATGCAAGCTGGATTATTTCATTGATCCTCAAACAATCCTTACAGGTAAGGAAACATTTAATGCAGCTAAACCAATTTTCAAGGATGCACAGCTAGTGCGGGAATAGGAGCAGACATGGCCCACAGAGAAAGCAGTGGAGCAATTTGTGGGATGATCTGCAATTTTCAGGAAGCAAAAGAAAAATGGAGGATAAAAACAGCCACAAAATTGGCATGAATAGTTTTTTTGCATGAGGTTGATATGGGAATGGAAGCTGGAGCCCTGTCCTTCCTTAAGCCTACTTTAAATTATTTTCTCTTTTCAGTTTTAAATCATGTTAACTAAATTAGTTTTATCTTCACCCGATGTGGACTGCGCGCTGTCTTCTGTGGAATTTGGACCAAAGTAGTTCACCTTTAGATGCCTAGCTAAGCAGCTGGTCCCTCTAGGACCAGAGATGCTAGCCTTCCATTTGGCCTTTGCCTGGGCTCTTTGGATGTCCCAATTAGACGTGGTCACAACTCCATTTAGAGCACACACCTTGCCAGCAATTGCACTTCGCACATAGTCTCACATGGGTCTACTCCACTCCCCATGATGCAGGCCCAGTTCTATCCTATCAGGGCTGCCCTCAGTGGGCATGGACTTTCTCTGAACCTTCCAGATCTCACCAGTCTTTCCTCACCGACCTCAAGCCTGTAGCTTCTTAGCCTCCCATCACTGAAACTGTGCTTAGGGAGGCAAACCTTCAAGGTTCCCAGACCTGGGGGTGGGGATGCAGCTCAGTGGTTGAGCACTTGCTTAGCATGTATGAGGCCCTGAGTTCAATACCCAGCACAGAAGGGAAAAAAATTCCCAAATCTGGCTGCTTGTCAAAATCACTTGGAGAGTTTGTTAAAAACATGGATTCCCAGGCCTGGTTCCAGATGTACTGAATTTGAACCTCTAGGGATGCTGCCCAGGAATCTACATGAATACTCGGTTGTCCGAGTGACACTAACGCATCTAGCCCAACCAAACTCCTGTTCACTCACCAATGTTTAGGATTAAAAGTGAGTGAAACACAGCCTTCCTCTGTGTATGCTCTTAGATGCATGAAATTCCACACTTAGGAACCAGTGTCTTTGGTTTGTCTCCCTTTCAAGTGCAGATGCTCTTGAAAGGTCTCTCAGTGACACATCGCCTTCTTTCTTGGAGAACAGTTTGATAGATTATCTCAGAAAAGGAAAGAAAACATAAGAAGGGAAGTTTAGCCTTCCTTCCATGCCAACCTCCAACCTAACTTCATGCTCCAGTTCTCCCTGGGCAGCGTTTTATGGTTGTTCTTAACTGCAGACATCCCTGGCTTCATAGCCATGCTTTGGGGGAGCAAATGCCATAGTTCTGTGTGTGTGTTACAAAAGTCCTACTCAAACTATTTTTTAAATTAGGCTCCCGGCATTAGAAGGACAAACAGTTTTCTAGGTATAACAGATTTATGTTATGTACAATTGCCTTTCCTCTCCAAAGATGAAAAAAGCAGTAAACGGAAGTGGGGAAGTGTGGATACAGCCAACAAGATTCATGTCCCTCCCCGCCTAAAGATATGTCTGTGTCAGTCTGTCACAACTCAAGGCGCCTCCTTTGGCTGTTCCTCCATCTGACATTTTTGCTCACTCAGCACAACTGCAATCCTAGCAAAGCTTTCCCAGACACTCCCTTAGATGTCAGATCATGTGACACTTTGGCTCTACGAACCCTGCAGGCAGCTCAGCTTTGGCCTTAACTTGCAATGAATGGGTATTTGTTACCACAGGTTGCTCTGATAGCCTCGGCTATCTGACCTAAGCTGAAGTCCTGGCAGAGGTGTGTCTCAGGCTGAGCGCTGCCCTCCTGTGGCTGGCTTGACTTCTTCAGCCTTGAATGGCTAGTGGGTAGCACGGTAAATGCTGGTGTTAAACACTCACGGTGTGGATGTGCTGAAGTCTATAGTGTTTCTGGATGTGAAATCTCAGAATTTCTGCTAAACAGAGTTTTTCTGCTTCCAGAACTCTGACAGTGCGCTTTCTTCTAGAGGACTCTCTGGGTCCATTTCTCTAGAGTCTTCTCTGCAGCTGAGGTCGAACTCCTTGGCAGCTGATGACACACCTGATCTTGTACTCCGAAGCGAGAGTCAGTTATTTTCCTCAAGGACAAAGGGATCTTTGCTATCTTAGAGAGATTTTTATATTCTAATGGATGTTTTCCATCTCTACTCACTAATAATTGAGATAAGTCTGCAAAAGAAATGGGAAGAATTTTTTAAAACAAAGACAAAATTCTTCTGTGGAACTATACAAAATCAAATTACATCATTACTACTTACTTAGGGCTTGCTGTGTCATTTTGCATTGCTCTTCCCTCTGTAAATCACTGGAAAGGAGGGGAAGAAAGAGGGAGCAGGATGAATTAAGTATGCAGGACATTTTCTTAAACTAAAAGGCAGAAATGTCCCAGATTTTATTAGTGTGTTGGTTTGAAATACAGTATTTTGCACAAAGAATGAAGAAACTGAGGCAATCTGAACAGTGTAAAGGGCAGCTGTTCAAACTGACCAGCAGCTTCCAACTGATGAGAGTGATCTCTCTCCTGCTTCGTGAAACGAATCCTCCTAAAGAGCGTGTGAGGTCTGACTACTGACTCGGGACAAGAAACTTTCCTTTCCATTGACAGGACAACTTACTGTGTTCCTCATGGAGCTCCAGCATTTCATTCATTCAGGACGCTGTTTAGGGGAACAGAAAGCTGTTTGTCTGCTAAGGAAATTTCCTCAGAATTCCCTGGGATGTGCAGATAAGAAACAGACTGGATGGTGAAGGTGAAGGATGCCCCTCACTCCCACGGGTCTAAAATAAGCACAATCCCCATTAATGTTTGGGGATTGAAGGCAATCAATCAGGGAGTGAAATCAGGGGCAAACCCCTCCACTCATCACCTCGAATAGATTGTTTGCCTCTTCCTTACAACCTGCATCAAATCTCCAGCATCGAAGTAGCTTCCCTGATTTAGTGTGGTTTTCAAACTTTAGGGTGTTTTGGAATCACTTGGAAGACTTGTTAAGACAAAGGTGACGGGGCCCATCTCCAGAATTTCTGAGTCAGCAGTGGGTCTTTGGTGGAGTCCCAGAAATTGCATTTCTAAGTGGTTCCCAAATGATGCTGATGTGTTGGCTCCAGGATCACACTTTGAGAACTAATAAATTATGGCATTATGGAAGTTGAGGTTAAAATGTAAAATACCTTGGCTAGTAATGTATTAAAAAGTTAAGAAATGGTACATAATATGAGTATGATTTGAAATTAAATTTATCCTGAATTAATAACTACCATTTACAGTGAATTTACTACTTACACTGGGCCTGTCATTGTGTCCATTTAGTCCTTATTACATTTTATGAAGTGAATATTATTCCAATTTTCAGATGAGGAAACCTAGGCTTAGAATTGAGACAATTTAAGTAAGAGCAAATGATATCCCCAGGATTTGAATCCAGATCTAGTTCCTAGAAAGTCAGTTCATTCAGGTAGCAGGTCTAGGATAAGCCAGTGGTCAAGGAAGACCAGAAGTCTAGGCCAACAAGATTTCCAAGGCTCCCCTGAGCATAGCCTTAGGTTCCATGTCAGCTGGGGTCCTGATTTGACTTGTGTTATGTACAGAAAGGAGATGCTGAAATTGGAAACTACAATTTAGAACTTCCTCCTGTGTATAATGATTTTTGTATGACTCTAGAGGCCCTCAAATGACCTGGCTTATTCTGTTTTTGAGAATCATGCAGGATTTCTTTAAGTATCTCCTTCAGCAGAGGCTGATTAAGGAAGGGAAGAGCCAGGATAAACTGTAGCCCAAAAAGACAGAATGGAGAAAATGTTGACCTGAGGCTGACTTCTCAAATGTTTTGTACATGAGAATCACTAACAATCTGATAGAGAGCTACAGAAGCACTTTGGCAGGATATGGTGTGCGTCTCTGCATTCTTTAATAACTTTTCAGGCGGTTCTGATATACACCAGTTTAAGAAGCACTACCTAAGCAGGACTTCACACAATTGAACACACATGCAAATCACTTGAGGATCTAATAGGTCAGGACAGGACCTGAGATTGAACCTTTTTTTTTTTTTTTTTTTTTTTTTTTTTTTGAGACAGGGTCTCACTATGCAGTTAAGGCTGGTCTTGAGTTCACTTTGTAGCCCAGGCTGGTCTCAAACTTGTAACGATCCTCCTCCCTCAGCCTCCCGAGTGCTGGGATTACAGGCGTATGCCACCGCGCCCTGCTCAACTGAACCTTTTTAACAAGCTCTCTAGTGATGCAGTTAAGTGGCAAGATGTAGGAACAATGATTTTCCAGCTTGTTTTGTTTTATTTTTATTTTTTTAAAGCATTCCAGGTCTTCTAACAAAAGAAAGGGAGTTCGATAGATAATATATCGCCCATCTCTTGCTGAAAGCCCCCAAAACATTTCTACCTTTTTGCTGTAACTCTGGGGAAGACACATTTAAAATAATCATAAACTGGATGAGGTGGTGCAGACCTGTAACCCAAGCTATTCAGGAGGCTGAGGCAGGGGATCACAAGTTCAAGGCTACTCTAGGCACCTTAGCAAGACCTTTGCTCAAAATAGAAAAATAAAAGGGCTGAGGATTTACCTCAGTAGCAGAATATCCCTGGGTTCAGTCCTAATACTACAACAGAAAACAAACATAACACTGAAAATAGGTTCTAAGAACACATATATAAGTCTATATACGTTTCCCTGACCATCAGGGCTCATGGTCACTAGAACTCTGGGAGATTTTTTTAAAGTAACTTTTTTCCTTCGGTGGTGGTAGTACTGGGGCTAAAACAGTCTTGCACATGCTGAGCAGGTGTTCTACTGCTAAGCTACAATCCCAGCTCCTAAAGTCATTTTTTTATATAATTAGAAGTTTCCTCAGTTTGTTTTTCACTGAGCCACGTCTGTTTTCCTGTAATCATAGGAAACAAAAATTCCCGAAACATTAATGGGGATTGTGCTTATTTTAGACCTGTGGGAGTGAGGGTTAGGGTAGGAATTGGAAAGTACATGCCTTGCTGTGTTTGGAGAAGCAATGGACCGGAGAGGAAATGGCCCCAGGCCGAGCCCAGGCACTGGGGATGGACTCCAGACCCAGGCCCTGTCAGTGGAAGGAGGCACTGGGTGGGGAGCTGGCCTCCTGGGAGGCTGGCGGCTGGGCTTTGCTGGCAGGAAGCCTTCATCTCCACTCACGCCCTCTGAAGTAGCCTTGTCTGCCTGGGAGCAGGGGGAATTCTGTAGTTTGGGACTGATCACATTCTCTGGGGTTTTCCTAAGGCTTCAAACCATGCTGTTCCCCAGAGGCGTGTGACACGGATTGCTCACGAAGTGCACATGCTACTTCCTGGTCATCTCCACCGCCCGGCCCAACAGTGATCTCCGTGGGGACAACCAGAAGAGCCTAAACAGGATCAGCCTGAACAAAACTGAGCAGACACTTGGGGTTATTTGCACTCCCTTCTGCAGGCCTTTCCTTCCACTGGGCCTACGCACGATGCAAATCAGAAACAAACATCGTTGCTCTTAGCAGACTCACAGATTCCCTCTCGTACCTGACTACTAAAAGTGTGCTCAGATCAGTAGCTTCGGCATCACCAGCACTGCTGGGACCTCGTTAAGAATGCAGTCTCAAGCCTGGCCACACCTACCGAAACAGAATCTGCCCTCAACAAGGCTGACTGGTCTGGAGGCACCAAATGTTTCAGAAATCCTGCTCTAGAGTACTCAACTTTGGCTGCCTTCCAGAGTCACCTGAGGAGCTTTTACGAATCCTGATGCTTGGGGAGGCACGGTGACACATGCCTGTAATCCTGGCGTTCTGGCAGGCTGAGGCAAGATGGCTGAGAGTTTGAGTCCGGCCTGGAAAACTTAGTGAAACTCTTGTCTCAGAATAACAATTAAAAGGGGCTAGAAATGATGCTCAGTGGTCGAGCGACCCAGGGCTCAGCCCCCAGAACTGGAAAAGAGAAAAGTCCTGATGCCTTTACCCTGGACCAGTTAATCAGATTTTCCTGGGACAGAACCCAGGCATTGCTTAATTTTAAATTCTCCAGGGTTGAAAAAACCTTTTGAAGTAGGAGGGATTAAGGAATGACACCTCTGAAAAATATTTACATTTTTTCTGTAGGACCCCAGAAGACTGAAAAGACTTCAGAGTCCCAAGGAATTCATATCAGTCAGTGGAAGCTGAGGGTGCCGGGAGGAGAGAGGAGAAAAAAGTATGGGATGGGCACGTCCTTTCAGCAAGGAAAGAAATCTTTTGCCTTTCTGACTAATTGTAGGGTCAGTGTTCAACCTGACTTTGTTAAGCAACACCAGAATTCAACAACCAAAAGTCCCTTCTACTTTATCCACGAAAAAAAGACTTACCCATTCCAAGTGTACTGCCAGAGCAGGTTACTGTAATAAAGAAAAATACAAGCACTGAAAATATATTTATTCATGTATTAAAGTGATAGGGGCTGGGGATTTAGCTCAGCGGCAAAGCGCCTGCCTGGCAAGCGCAAGGTCGTGAGTTCGGTTCCTGGTACCGGA